CGAGAGAGAGAGCACAGCATGCGAAACATCTTTTTTTGCTCCCTTTTCAGTTTTCTAGCTCTCTCTCTCTCTCTCCCTCTCTCTCTCTCTCTCTCTCGCCACTGGCGGACGGCAAGCTTCGGGCTCATCAGCTTGATTTGATTGTCGTCTTGCTATTCGGGTGCTGGCTGGTCGTCGTGCGGGTGGTCCGTGGTCGTGACGGGCGAGCTGCGTTGGGCCTGGCTACTCGTTCACGCTTTGGCCGTGCCTTTGAAGCTCTGTTCGCTTTTCTGTGTGCACGCTCACGGTTGCGGTTCCAAATCCGGCTGGCTATGCCTGGGAACTGGCAGGACCTCGGTTTTTGACTTGGTCAGACCCGGGTGTTCTCTTTGGCAATGCTTCCGTAGCTTTGGGGAAGCTGGCCCCTCGCACGCCAACGTTTTAGCCATTTGACCTGCTGTTTCTGCTTCTGACAAGGAAGAGGCGTTGGTATCATCATCATCATGGCTGACCGGTAAGTTGGCCCCAGATTGTGCCAATATCACACGCACCATGATAGCGGCTCAGCACTCATGCCCACCGGCCACTCCCTGTGTCTGTCTCTCTGTGTCTGTCTCTGCCTCTCTGTGTCTGTGTCTGTGTCTGTGTCTGTGTCTCTATCCCTTCTCTCTTGCTTCCCTTCCCTCTCCTGTTCCCCCCTCCTTTTTTTTTTTGTTTTCTGGCTCAGAGACGCAAGACGCTTTAGCGATGACGACCGGAGGCCATATTCGCCCCGAAGCAGTCCTCAGCGAGACAATCCCTACCGCCGTCGCCGTGCGGACAGCCGCGAACGCGACTTTGACGCACGTGCAGATGAACGTGAATTTCGACGCAATCATTTTGACGATGCCGAGGCCCGCCGCAGTGATTCATACTTTCGCCGCAACGACATGCATGGGCGTCGACACCCTGATCGTGACCGGGGTTGGAACAGAGACCGTCACTGGGACCGAGAACGAGGTTGGGACCGAGACCGAGCCCCGGGCCGAGATTGGGACCGCCATCGCCATTATGATGACCGTTCGTCATGCCCTTCCCATGCGCCCCTCCTCCTGCACTTGCATCCAACCATCCTCAGCCCCCACACTCTGGCCACACGACATATCGGGTTTGACATGGCCTTGCTTGACTTTGGATGCAGATAATCGACGCACGCATTCCCCCAGCGACCGCCACTGGACCCATGACAAGTATGGCTCTAAGGACCTGGACTCTCAACGCTGGCGAGATTCCGACCAACGCCACCGCGCCGAGGATACTGCACCACCCGTCTCTCGCCACGTGGTGTTTCGCAATTTGAATTATGACGCCACGGAAGACGACGTTCGTGTCATGAGCTTGTCGTGCCCTCTCTGATGCTGCTTGCCAGCGACACTCGGCAAACCCGCAATTGCATCCTTGGCTGCTGGGATGGTGCCATCTATCTCACAAGTCATGCTGAGGTGGCGAGTCCAACTTATCGTTTTACACAACGCCCAACTAAGTGCGTGCTGTGCGATATGATCGGCAGATTTTTCGTACACTCGATGCGCTCAACCTTCCCACTCCGTTGAAGATTACCATCTTGCGCGAGCAAGACACCGGTAAGTCCCACCCCCGTTCATCTCCTGCCCCTATCCCCCTGGTAGCTGGAACATGGTAGGTGCACATGGTCGCCGCGGAATTGTCGTGTTCCCATGACCTTCTCTTTGGAGACCTGCATGGGTCCGTAGGCGAGTCACGGGGCGTTGCCTTTGTGGATTTTGAGCGCATCGAGGACGCCCAAACTCTTGTGGACCAGGCCACGCTAGAAGTATGGCCGGCATGCCTATAATGTTCTTGCATAAAATGGCAAGCCAAGCTTGCGTTCAGCTCATGATGCTTCGGCTTGTATTCGCACATGACGGGCGTGCAGATTATGGAGCGCACTGCCCGTGTCTGTTTCAAGGAGGGCCGTCGTCGAGATGGCGGTGCTCACCAGGAACCACCTAGCAACGGTGCGCCAATATTCGGCCGTGCTTGACATTGTATTTCCAATTTGCTGTCGTTCGCCTCACTGGCATCCGATCTATCCGCCATGCTCTTGTCTCGGACCAAATGGTAGTGCTGATTGCTCGCAATCTGTCTCCCATGACCGACGAGGCATCGGTGAGACCTCTTCTCTGGCGCACTCATCTCCGGCTCATCACAACCTACCCGCACCAATGGGATTGTTTGGGCCCTGCCTGTTCTCTGACTCACGATCAAACGCCACAGCTTTTTGCCGCCTTTTCTCTTCTGCAGCCACCCATAAAAACACGGGTAATGCGCGACCAAGATGGCGTTTCGCGCTGCTTTGGATTCATTGATTACAGCTCAGACCAGGTGTGTGTGTGTGTGTGTGTGTGCATGGTCAATATGATTTGAACCTAAAGGCATCTGATCATCCTCATCGGTTCCATGGTGCCTGAAAACACGCGCGCGTTTGTAAACTGCAGGAGGCGCGCATGGTTCTGGACCGCATTGCTACAACCGAGCTGCCCTTTTTGGTGGACAATCGTGAAATCTCAGTCAACTTTGCTCGAGCATTCGATGACTTGCCTGTGCGCGGCAGTGGGGGCAGCGCCGCACTTGCGGTCCAGCGAGCAGACAGTAAGGAGCCAGAGAACCCCATGGAGCGGTTGCGCGTGGATCCAGCCACGGGATGGCTATATGACCCACATACGTCGTACTATTATGACAAGATACACCGCCTCTTTTACAACGGTGCCACTCGACAGTACATGCAGTGGGATACGACTACAAAGCTGTTTGTGGCCGTTGAAACCCCACCCGACGTTAAGGAGCGTGAGCAGCAAATGTGGGCAGCCGCCCTCAACCAGACAACCGCCGCAGCTACAGCTGCCAAGCAGGACGATGCTGACCCCGCCAAGGCTATGGCCAACCAGCTCGAGGAATGGGAGCGCAAGCAAGAACGCAAGCGACAAAAAGAGGCCAAGAGCGGCGTTCTCATCAAGAAGAAAGTCAAGGCAGCAGCTACCGGCTTCAAGGTCGTCGGCGCCAGCGAGACCACCGATCCATCAGCCGAGGGCGAAGATGGGGCAGAAGAGGACGATGGCGTTGACTACGACAGTTTGGTGCAAAAATTGCCCCCTGAGGTGGGCACGGTGCACGACTGGGATGTACTTGAGCAAAGGCAGTTTATCAACGTGGAGAAATTTGCGTGCTTGTTGTGCAAGCGCGCGTTGGAGACCAAGGATAAGTTGGAAAAGCACATTCGCGTATCAAAGCTACATGTGGACAATGTCGCCAAAGCACGCGAGAAAGTAACTTCGATGTTGACCACCCGCGAGCGGGAGAAATTGGCTGATGCCGAAGCTCGGGCGGCCTATCGTGATAGGTGAGTGAGCGTGTGAGAGTTGCACTGCGAATGAGCTGTTCGTTCTGCGTTCAGCAGCTCTGACGCATCCTCTTTCCGTGTAGGGCAAAGGAGAGGCGTAAACTGCATGGGCAGAAACGCAAGCCACCCCAGTCATTTCGCAAGCGTGCGGCCCCGCAAGCCCCAGTGGTGGAGCAGCCCACCAAGGTCAGCGTGCCGGGTGATGCCCTCGGCTTGATATGGACCGCCATATCATCTACGATGCGCAACTCTTACCGTGGTTCACTTGACCGCTTTGTGAGTAGGATGGTATCAAAGAAGACAATGTGGGCAATCGTATGCTCAAAGCCATGGGCTGGAGCGAGGGTAAAGGGCTTGGCAAGGATGGCTCGGGCATCGTCAAGCCGATTGAGGCAGAGGTTCGAGTCCAGGGTGCTGGTCTCGGTGCCGCGCCCACCTACAAGGTAGAGGATGGCGATCTGACCGGCACGATGAAGAACATGGCGCGTGCCCGTTATGAGCGCGTCCTTCGCGAAGAGCAGGTCCAAGATCACGATGTTCCTAGCGCAACCGCAACGTGATAATTCATTCCTTAAAATATTTCCTTTTCAATTGGGCTTGGTGTCAAGGTTTTGCGCTTTTGTCAGGCCTGGCTTGGCTTTGGGCAGGGTGTTTTGCACCACAAGGAGACAGGCAGGTCATGCACCATTTTACTAGCGGATATGAATGAGAGCGTTTGGGGGTTGGGTTTGGGCGCGGATCAAGTACATCAGCGACCCGTAGGCACAACAACGAGTGGATAAAACTTGTCCAGTAACTCAGGCTCTGGAAATGAGCTCGTCGTAATGACGATGACTTTAAAGTATTCCGCGATGCGTTCTGGGTGAAATCTATGATGGCAGCCCAGCCCGAGCAAAGCAACAAGTCCCGCCCGGGATCGACGAGGGTACGCGTCACAAACTACATGCCTCTGGCAGGTCTCGGAAGGCTCAAGCACGGCCAAAAGGTTCAGCTTACCGCACGAGATCATATTCAGGTCCATCGTCTTCGCGACGCAGCTGGGCATAACTAATCGGAGAAAGCACAAAAGGCATGGCTTTGAGATGACGGACGAGCCATGAAGCCATCACATCAACCTAGAAAAGCAGACCGTTGAAGCGACAAACCAACTTTTCTTCTTGTGTAAGTGAGCCGTCAACAAGCATGGTCAAAAGGCGAGGGTGAACCCGCGTCAGGTTGTCCTCGAGAAGCACTAGGTTATCCACGTCCATCAAATCAAGAACCAGGGGCTTGTGGAACCTGCAAACTCGATGCGGACCCATTCATGGCGGCGCACAGCCACACCGTGTCAGAACATGGCATGGGCACTTTCTGCGCTTTATTGAAACGATGAGGAAAGATAAAACATTCTGGCACATGCAGCTGTTGAAATGCCCAGCTTGTGATTTCTCACCTCAAGCTGCCCAGCACAGCCAGACGGAGCCGACTGGGGTCGGCGTCGTACGCAGAGCATAGGTTGACATAGTTTGTATCGCGGTATCGCATAAACGTAGCAACTTGCCGCGACAGGTCCAAGACTAGTGGCCAACGCTTGCTGGCTTTGATCTCGCCACCAACATCGCGCATTAAAACTTCGTCAATCTCTCGAATGTTGCACCTACGATTGCAAAAAGTTGGACCGACGTAAGGACAAGCCGTGTGGCCACCATCTGCTTGATAGCACAAGTTTATACATACCTTGGGTGCTCGTCCGTGTCCTCTCCCTCGGCCTGACGATCGTCATGCTCCTTTTGCCTCAGCTAGAGCCAGCAGCATCAATCCAACCCAAAACAAAATCATGGATTGACAGTGAAATCTTTGATTCAATGCTGGCATTGTGTATCCGCAGTCTCTCGTTGTTTGAGGAGGCAGAAAGAAAAAAAAAAAAGAGCCAGCAGTCTAGCATGAGGCGGCTGTCAAGATACACAAAACACAAACCTGGCGCCGTAGCTCAACCAATTTGGTTTTGGCATCGTCGGCTTGATGCTGCGCTTGAGTAAGACTTTCCTCGGCATCCTTGATCATTTGCAAAGTGACAGCCGACAGGCGTTCTTCGCCACGCGCCGCAACCTTGTCATGCTCAACGATGCGCTTTTCCAGCTCGTGTCGGGCTTTGAGGAGGAGGAGTTGTCGGCTTGCACTGAGCTTTGCTGCTTTCTGTCAAGGGAGGACGAACGGGGAACAGATTGGTGGTGAGCCCAACAAAACAGCACAGCTTGGTCGATCAGCTTGATGGTCACACATCTCAAAGCAAAGATACAATGAGCAGCAAAGGTCTGCGTTACGCGCGCAACAGCCTGCATGATTGGACAAACCTCGACTTCGTCTTCAAGCCTTGACGTGGCTGCTTGGCGCGCCGCGGTGGCCTTGGCTTGCTCTTCGGCATCACGGCGGGCAAGCTCCTCCAGTAAGCGGTCTGTCTCCGTGAGATCCCAAGAGCGGAAAACTTCGGCTGTTGCTTCATTGGCCGCAATCTTGGAGCAAAGGGTGGAGTGGTTCAAAGGGGCAGGGGTAAACAAGCATTGAGTAAACGACAAGCACGAAGTTCGACTCGTTTTGGGCGTGTGGATGACAAAGGCTTGCGCCTCTCTGCTTTGTCACCTACCTCAGGTGGGGGCATCCCTTCGTTATCATAGAGACGGGGGTCAGCACCGTGGTGCAGGAGCAGTTTGACGGCTTCCACATGACCTGGAGCCGTTTCGAAATGAGTGCAGTGCCGTGTAGAGGGGTTGACAATCAAGCATTCAGGTCTTCATGCTGCAGCTCTTGCAAAAGCTGGGGGTAAAATCAACCGTCTTGCAGAACCCACCAGCAAAAGCTGCTCGAAAGAGAGGCGTGCGCTCAAAGCGCCCACGCGCGTTCACTCGGGCGCCACTACCGAACATGAGCAAGGCATAATATTCAAAATCTGGCACGGCTCAAAACTTCATGCCACAGCGTGCTATCATCGCATATCATCCCAAAGCACATAAGACAAACCGATGCAACAGGAGGGCCAATGCTTCAGAATGACCACCCGCCGCAGCTTCGGAGAGAGCTGTGTCGCCATTGCCATCGGGTGCTTCAAGGTTGACCTAGCCAGTCGAGTGGAAGGGGGGCACGACGGGGCTTGTGAGAACAGGCGATCCAGAAGTCTGATGCGGCCATGGTGCTAATGGTGCTAGCCAAGGCAAAGAACAACGCAGCATTTGCAGACGGAAAGCACTTACGCCCTGCTGAAGCAAACTGATGATATCATCCACTTCACCGTCGAAAGCGGCCTCCCGAAGTTGCTTCTCACGCAGGGTCTGCGCTTGCTTCAGCTTACGCTGTTCGCGCTCCAGCTGTACCCAAGTATGTTGTCATGTATATGCGAGAGAGAACGCGCAAGCAATGAGCAGGGAGAAAGCGAGCAGGTTTGCTGAGCGTGGGGAGGGCGAGATCCAACGGGCACGGACCTGCAGCTGTCGTGCATCTTGTTCTTGTTGACGCTTGACCATGGCAACCCAGGCATCCCGTTCCAGCCGCTCCATGGCTTCAACGTATGCTTGATGCTTGAGACGCAAGCTAGCCAGCTGGCGCCGGGCCAAGAAGCCACGCACCTAGTGCGCGTCATGATTCGTCGAACACATACACACACACACACACACACACACATACAACGCGCAGGGTGAGGGGGCAGCGGTCCACCCGACAGGGAGTGAGTGCACCACCAAGCGACTAGTAGGTAGCGCCACGATGATCGAGCCTAAAATCTGCTGCTTGGGACTCGTGAAAAGTATGCCATCGTACGAGCGTTTGTATTTGAATTGCGGCTTGCTTGCGTGCTGCCGCAGCAGGATCCTTGCCTGTTGCCAGCAACAGGACGAGAGGGGCATGGTTATGTGCGTGCCATCTGAATTCGAAAACACCAGCGCACCATCAACATGTTGGCACAGACAGCACCTACTGGCGGGTTTTTTGGCCTTGCTTCCAGCTCCAATTCCCGCTTTCCTGGACGCATGAACCTGTGAGCCCGCGCGCCATGGCCGCGGCGCAGGCAAGCAAGCGTTGACGCTTGCCGCTAGAGACACTCACCGGCTCCCTGAAGGTTTGGCCGTCTTGCCGGTCTTGGTTTTGGAGGGCGTGCTTATGGCTTTGCTACTGGGTCCAGTGCGCCGAGCCGCTCCCCCGGTTGCGGCGCTTTTGCTTGTCGTGTCAGTCGACTTGACAACCGAGGGACGGCTGGAGACACGCGCTGTTCCGGCTTTGGTACCAGTGGCCTTTGCCCCTCGTGTCGCGCCTATCCCGGTGGTTCCACCTCCATTGATGGCCTTGGAAGAAACCTTTTTAGCCGCCACAGAACCGCTCGTCCTACTTGATCCGCGGGCTGCCATGATGATGATGATGATGATCTACGCCGAGATCACCAGCACGCACGCAGCCCAAGGGGTTGTCTCGTTGTGAAAAGTGCCTGACATCTCTATGCGGAAGTGTAACTTCGGTCACACTTTACCGTCACTCGCTCAGTCAGTCTCTCTCTGTCTCTCTCTTTTTTTTCAAGACCGTGAAGATGGCAGCCGAAGTGGAGGTGGGTGATGCGATTTTGGTGCGGGTTGGACCGGCACGGGGATCAGAACTGCACACGAGGATGTGGGCACTACATGTCTGTTCTGCCTCGTGTAAGCATGACAGCCCCTCCTCTCCCTCTCTCTTTCTCTTTCTCTTTCTCTTTCTCTTGCGTTGGGTTGCTCGGTCATTTGCGAGCTAGGCTTTGGTGGTGAGTGTACTGGACAAGACGGAGGAGCCTGCCGTCTTGGCCCCTCTCTCTGATGTGCGGTAAGTTTGAACCACCAACTTACCATCAACTCTCGAATCGGCCTTGGATATTTTCGCGTGCGTCCCCAAAGTAGCTCATGTCAGATGTGCTTTCAGCATTGAAGTCAGCTTTCGCAAGCTGATGCAGGGTCATATTACCGCAAAGGACGATCAAGCCGCCCTCACTCTTTTGGAAGAGGCCATCCAGCTCACTGTCAACTATGGTTAGCAGGTTGCGGCTGTACAAATTTCTGACACGAGCTTTACGTCTTACCTGACGATGCACCTCCGCTTTTCCTTTCAATGCTGTGTTGCGGGTCATACAGAGGTCATGTCATCCTCGATTGTGGTGTCGCTGCTCGAGGATATCTTTGATGTGCTCGGGCTGGACCGGGTCCCACACTACTTTGACTTTATGGAAGCGCACCTTAACGTTTGGGTTCACGTATGTGCTTGAGCATGTCAAATTCGGTGCTGTAAACTTTAGTCTGTCCGAGCCCATCCTTCTGATATTTTTCTCATCCCTTGGGCGGTGGACCATATCCGTATGTGTGTCAGGCCCCCTTTGATCAACGTGGCGCGCAAACGCGCATGTTGCGCCTGGCCAACAGTACGTTCCACTCATGTGGGCGAGCCAACCGAGGAAGGGCGCTGGTCCTGTCACTGCTGTTCGCGTTGAAGTAACGTCGGACTGTGCACATACGTGCTTCCATCGTAGCACTCAAACGGCGACTGTCCCGAACCCAAGATACGGCACTCTGTGGACGCATTATGATGTTTCTGGCCAGGTTGGCGTTCTGCACCCACACTGACATCCAAGAAGAGATCCAACGGATTGCTTCCCTGGACCATCTCGAGCCAGGCCAATTTTAACATCGTTTTTGTGCACATGAATGGATACCTGCTTGGGCAGTATCTTCCCTTTGGCAGATAAGTCTGGAGTCAATCTGAATTCCAGCTTCAACGTGGGCAATGCGACGTCTTATGATGAGAGCGATGAGCCCATTCCTCACGGCGCATCCGAGGCTGCGCTGGCAAGGTATCTTCATGTCACCCATTGCCTGCCTTGGTGATGAATGCAATTTAGCTTTATATAACTTTTCTCACTCAAAGTACCATGCTTGCCATTACAGCGCTGAGGGCGGCGAGCAGGCGCTCGACAAAAAACTATACAAGCAATTTTGGCAGCTACAGGCAGCCTTTTGCAATCCGGCTATCCTGGGTGCAGGCAGCGACTGGTTGCAGTTTCAACAGGTGCGCGCATGCGGCCTAAATGTGTCACCGATCGAGGTCGGCTGCTCCTCACAATCACTCCTTGAATCATCTGAATTCCGTGATAAATCGGCCATCAGAACCTGGAGCGTGCGTTGGATGTCTTGCAATCCTTTGAGAAGAACTCGCTCACCACGCAAGGATCATCCCCTGTGGTTGAGGCACCGCAGGCGATCAACGGTGCCTTGGCTGAAGCCCAAGTGGATCACGTCTTTTTTGCCAAATTTCTGACAGCTCCCGAGCTGTTTCATCTACAGCTGGCTGATGCCGCCTTTCGGCATCAGGTCCTTGCACAAGCCATGATCCTCCTCCACTATTTGAGCGTTCCCAGCAAGCATAAGCGGTGCGTGTTTGTTGCTTTCAGCTTGGTGTTGGTCCGCCCCCAAACGCAAGAGATCACACCCTCGTCACAAGCAAAGGAGCTCACACGCACAACCTTTTGGCGCGGTACTCAGGCCTGCCAAGCTGACAGCGTCGCAGGAAAAATGGGTTGCTGACACAATGGATCGCATCCAACAGGTGGCCTCTTAATTGCCGTTCCCCAGTGGGGGAACAGATTGGCTTTTGTACTGTAGCCAGGCGTCAGCTAACGCACCACACTGCCTTACTTCACTTTCACTTTTCCACACGCAGCTGCTCAAGGGCGTGCCCTCAGAGTTATCGCGTCAGTTTGTGCGCAACATCAAGGTCAGGAAAAACTGTCATGTGACATCGCAACACGGGCCCGGACACCTTCTCATGCCCGGTTGTGCTAAAATAGGACATTTTGGCGCGCGAACAATCCTGGATGGCCTGGAAAGACAAGGGCTGTCCTTCCTTTTCTCGTCCCACGTTAGAATGCGTTGCGTTTGCACTGTGTGCCAACTGAACCATCCTGGCCCGCTACATTGTCCACAGTCGGCAGCGTTGGGCTCAATGCTTTGCGGTGGGCTGATCTGATTACATAGGGCGTCAAAGAGAACCCCAACAGCCGATGGTGTGAGCGCAAGTGGCCCACCTGCCAAGAGCGCCAAACACGATTTGGGAACACCGGCACTAACACGTCTTTGGAATGTGTCCGAAGACAACCTTCAAGGCTGTACAATTACAGAAAAGTACGATGGGCCAAGCCTGCGCGCACAAGCTCGTGGCTCGCGTCGAAACTTTCCAGCCCACCGTTCTGCTTCCACCCACCAATAGCGGCATCTCACGTTGTGTTGACCATGCTTGAAATCACAGAACGTGCCCAAGTGTTGAGGAATTCTTCGAGGATGCCATCATGGAGCTTGATCCGCGGAATCAGGTGGAGGAGGTGTACTGGTCAATCAACCGGCCTGACTTTTGCTGGCGTGCGCTACGTCTACTGGGCAAAAAGCGTCTGCACTATTTTTCGGAGATTGAGATTCAAAAGGTCAGCGGTGTTTCCAAGAACAAAAAAAATAAAATCCCTCGGAATCGTGCACAGTTGTATCAGCTTTGACGCTCATAGACATGGTTTGTGGTGTGCATCGTGCATCAACAGACCCTGAAAGAGTATTTGGTCAAGGCCCTGACCAAACTGGTATGTGCCTCTTCGCTCCCCAACTGGCACTCGGCAAACAGACTTGTTTCCTGATGCATGATGATGTGCTCCATCTCGTGGCTTATGATTTTGATGTCACGCAGGGGAGCGAATTGGAGAAGGCAGAGGCAGCGCCAGTGCAGCCCGTGGAGCCAGAGGCCAAGCGCGAATCAGACGAGCAGGGTGATTCAGAAGCCGAGGAAGTGGCCGAAGACAATGAGCCCAAGGAGAACTCAGGTCAGCAGGCCGAAGCCGTGGACGAGAGCGCCGACTGAGCACCGAGCCCATTTTGTCTGACAATTCAACCCTGTTCTAAATTTTCGAAAGCCTGGTCTGATGATTTTTGGACGCAAAACAGTTCAAATAAAAAGTTCCCGCTGATTTTCAAATTGAGCTCTTCTGAATGCCAGTTTTCATTTTATTTTTTTCTCTTCTTGTTGTCCACACGATTGTCCAGAAGAAACGCGTCATCGATTGATGCCCTTTCCGTAGCTGGCGAGGCGCTCGTGACAAGGCAAACAAGGCCATGGCTCTCAAAGAAAACCAAGCCTACCTGGGCTTGTCACCGTCCCAGGGGTTCGTCTGCGCTGTCGCAAATCTGGAAGACTGTGCCCACGCTGTTCCCGAACCCTCATGCCGCCACTTATCGGGACCCCGTGCAGGAAATCCGAGGTGCTCAGCCCAGATACGCATATGGAGTTGCGGCGACTTCACAAGGTTTGTGCATTTTTTTTTTTTCTTCTCGCTCCAATCTACGCAAAGCCCTTCGTGTGGCCGTGATGGCTGTCGTCGCACCGGGCCGCATGTCGTATTTTCGTTCGGTGGCGTCGAGGCACCGTGGAAAGTGAAAGACGGTGTATTAGGCTTTGGACCGTGTTTCGTATTAACGACCGTGCTTTCGCTGTGATAGGAAGTCAATGAGCTCTACGAAACATTGGAGGCCAAAGACCGGGACCTGCAACTCTCAGCCACGATTGGCCAAAACTTGCTTCAGGAGAATCAAGACCTTTCCGAACGATATGAGCAAGCGCTGCAGCAACATGCGCAGGCCATGGAGGAGCTGCAGCAGGAGGTCTATGCCGCACGACAGGAGAGCAAGAACCAGTCACATGACCGAGAAATGGCGCTTCACCTTGAAAATGAGAACAGTGCGCTGCGGGATCGCGTCGATGCCTTGGAAATACAGTGCCGGGCCTTGGACAAGGAGCTCCAGGGCACGAAGCGTTCCTCACGAATTGACCTCGAGCGCTTCGAGGAACAGGTTCAGAGCCTGCAAAGTGAAAAGGGCCAGTTTGAGCGCAAAATCGCACAACAACTGACCATCATCGAGGACCTGCAGAACCAAGCTGTTGCTCGAGCCAATGCAGCAGATCTGGACCAAGAGCTGGCCACGTGTCAACGCCAGTTGACCGACATGGAGCGCGAGGTGGCTTCTCTCCAGCTAGAGCGCTGCGATTTACAGAGTGCCTTGCAGCAAAATATGACTGACAATGCCAATCTGCGACAGCGCGTCGTTGAGTTACACGAGACCAATGGACGACTGCAGGTTCAGAACGGCGGCCTCCGTGATGCAGCCGAGGACATGCAGGCGACAATGGCTAGTCTGCAGACAGAGTTGGCCCAGTACAAGTCTACCAACGGCAACATGGGGAGTGGTCTTGATCTCTTTAGTGAGGTCGAAGAGAAACGCATTCGGTTGGAGGAGGCCTTGGCGCGCCATCGTAGCCGAGTGGTGACACAGCAGAAGCAAATTGAGCGCATTGAGCAGGATCGCCGAAGTTTGCGCGCTCACGTCCAGCGTCTCATGCAGATGCACGGCAGCAAAGCCGACTCGGCCAAAATGCATCGTCTGGAGAATGCCCTGAGCCAGCGTGAGTCAGAGATGCTTGAGCTGCGTCGCGTGGTCAAGCGCCTTCAAGACACCAACCATCAGTACACCAGCCGCGCAAAGGAGCTACTCCAATCAGTGAAGCAAGGGGATCATCGCGTGGTTGTGGAGTTTATGCAGGAGGAGCTTGAAAACGTGCGTGAGGAAAATGCACGTCTTGAGCGTGAGCTGCAAACAGCCACCATGAAGACAGTCAACGAAAGCTACAAGTTGCACGAGTGCCAAGCTCAGCTACACGACGCTGAGCGCAAGCTTGAGGCAGCGCGTGCCGAGGCCATGCAGCACCGACTGAAACTGGAGGAAATGCGCACGACTTTGGCCAACTTGGAGCAGGATGAGACACCTCAACGTCCCCAGGCGGAAAAGCGTGCTGCCAACAGCGCACCCCACGCCTTCAGCGACGCAGCTACAAATGCAACTCCAACACCTCAGGTCGAGGCCGTACATGCTGGTGAAGCTCACGAAGGGCCCGAATCCCCAAGCCTGGTGCGCTCGCCAAATGGCATCAAGGCGGCTTTGGACTTTAGCACATTAATGCAGACAGCCAGTTCCAACATGAACACGCCTGAACGCCTGCCCTCGCCCGGATTGAGCATGGGCTCTGCATTTCGGCCGTCAGGCAACGCATCGGCTCTTGCGAGCCTGCAGCGTTTGCGTGCCGGAGCTACTCGGGGCCGTGACTCATCCGAGGCAGAGGCCAATTCGACGTTGGGCCCCATGCAGTCAGATGATGACGTCTCGGCTATGACTACACCGCCAACCCCCGGCGTAGTGGAAGTACAGGAAGGGGCCGATGGCAGCGTCAAGGGCGCGGTTGCTTTGCGATCGGCCTCGGATCGTGTTAGAACGCGAACGCGACGAACCGCGCCCGCGGCAGTGCAGGCGCCAGCCATGGCTGAAGCGCCTGCAAGCACACGAACCAAAATCAAAATTTCGCAGCCTGTAGCTGCGGAGCAAGATGGTCCTTCCGAGTGCGCCACGCAGTAGGGGCTTTCTTTATGCTTCCCAATCTGCTGTAGTGAGAGGCATGAAATGATGGAGTGTTGCACACGGCGCTGTGCGCCCAGTCAAACAGCTCTCCCTGATGTGTGTTGACTTGGCTGTGCTTGTATTTGTGCTTGTGAGTGAGGCGACCAATGGTGACTTTTGAGTCAGCTCGGCCCAAGGCGGGCATCGGCACTGAAGAGATAAAAAATTGTGAGAAAAAGAATTGACACGTGAACAAGTAGGTCAAGGAAAACCTGGATTGGAAATTGTCGGTCGAAAGCCATTTGCAGGAACGGACCAACTTGGCACTTTCGGAGCATCGAGATCGCTATAGCTATTGCCGGAGGTCAACCGGCTTTGATCATCGGAGATAAGAACACATAAACACAACCGCGGCAAGGACAAAATAAAGACGAACAAAAAAAGGAATCAGAGAAGGGAAGAGAAATGGGGAGTCACAAGTGCATGTTCACATGCACACGCACATAGAGGCGATGGTATGGTCTGGACTACGCTTCGTCGAAGAGCAACAAATGTACAATGGAAACATCAACAAACATCGAGATAAATCAAACAATGTTGAAGGGCTCAGCGCACGCAGATCAAAAGAGGCACGACATGAACCGAGAAGAGTCGTGAAATCGAGCTCACAGAATCAAAAAAAGCCACTCATCTAGTCGAGCAAGGAAAGATCGCGGAACAGGGCGGGAGGAAATTGATACCAAGCCTCACACCAAGAAAAACAAAAGCACCAAGGAAAAAAAAAAAAAAGATCCAAATAAAAGAAAACCTGAAAATCAAAATCAGGAAAGAACAAAATACAACACATGACAGCGAACATGCACGAGTCGCCATGCAAGCTTCACCCTCCTTCAAAAGTCATAACATTGGAAACGTTTTAGGAAGAGCGCGCTTGGAGTCAAAAAGAAGGGCGGAAAGGGACTAAGCATGGCAGGTCGATCGAAGAATTTCGCTGAAATCGGAGACATTGTCGGGGGTTTGGGGCCTCGAGCAGGCACAAGTGCAAAAGCCAAGCCGTGCACAGGTCCGCCGCTGACTCAAGCTCGCAACAAAATCTGAAGCTGATCGGGACGGGCAACGCCAAAATCGGAGCACATGTTTGAGTACATTTCACTGGTGGCCCAAGGCCGGGCGTCATCGGGTTGCCCAGTTTTGGGATACACGAGCAAGCGACATTGTTGCAAGTGCTGAGGCAGGTTTTCGCGGACATCGACGCCCGTTGTATCGTCGTGCACGTAGACAATCATGGGCATACTTTCAGGAACGTTGAGAACCACCGGCGTTGGAAGCTGAATCGTCACGCTGGGCGGAGACTTGCTGGAGCTCAGCTCGGCCAGTGAGGCGATAACTTGATTTGAGCTGGGGTCGACGAGGCGAGCGCGGCTGGCTTGGTCTTGGGGAATGTTTCTTTGGTAGATCTGACAAGTGGCCAAGGTGGCCAAACGATCAACGGGGTCGTGGAGTGGGAGATTCAATATGCTTTGCTGGGCATGGCCGTTGATTGCCACGGTGACTGCAAAGTTGCGTGCGGTGGGCTGCTCGAGCACCGTGACCATGAAATTTTGGCCAATGAGGTCGCGCATGGAGGGCGGCGTGCTGCCCTGTGCCTGTGGGGCTGCCACCACAACCAAATCGTCCTTGCCGCAAAGTTTGGCGTGTTGTAGGCAAGCCCGCAGCGTGGCTGGTGTAACGGGTGCGTCAGGTGCGACTAGACTTGAGTGCGTGCCAGTCTTGCCTAAACGCACCAAGCATGCTGAGCTCTGCAGATGAGCCTGCAGCGTAACCTGCGCGGGCAGGCAGTGGCAGGGCACGTGCGGCCGCACGACCAGGCCTTCAACGTCACGAATGTACACCACCGAGGTAACGCTTTGGGTATAGTATAAACACGCCCTCATCACGTCTGCCACCGTTGTCGAGGCACTGGCCCACAAAACGAGTTGGCGATCAAGCTCACGCACGTAGACGCGGAGTTCGCGCAGCTTGGCACGTGGGCACAGCAAGACGGCAACCGAGCTGCTGTTGGTACTGGTGCCGGTGGCCTGACCAAGTGCCGCGTCTTCTGCCATGACTACTGGCACATCCTTCTCGCCAAGCATGAGGCCCATGCGCATGTCGACTGGAACCAGATCAATGTCCAGCGAGGCGGCTTGGGTCTGCACAATTTCAGACAGGGCGGCACGGTTGACGAGAAATGTGTTGTAGAGGTGCTTTTCACCATGATTGTCAATGGTGTAGATGTCAAAGGAGTGGCGCTGTCCATCGTCCGGCTTCCATGGCAAAGGTGACGTCGTTGGCAGGTTGAAGGATTGCACGCTGCAGTGCAAGGCTTGCGGACCGGGCTCAATCAGCCCGTTCAGGCCATGGATGGGCGAGGCACCACGCCGCAAGTCTGGATCAGTACCATTTCCCATGCCGTCCTCGCGTGCGATGCGACCATTGCGCTGTGTTAGCAGTCTAGCCATTTCTTTAGCTCTGGGTGTGGGGACACGACCTGCCCGCGGCAACGCACTCATTTGGTTCATGAGCGAGGTGTGGTGCCCAGGGCTGGAGGCACAGCTGTTGTTCTGGCTGCTGAGTGAGTCGGAGCGAGATGGCGGTGCTCCTGTTGAAAAGCCAGAGGCTGCTCCAGACAGCCCATTGGCATCTGGTAGGGGCGATGCCAACGGTGGGCTCTGAAAAACATCATCTCGCGAGCCGGGATATTCGAGCTGCGCGCCATAGAGGAGACCTTCCCCCCCAAAATCAAAGCTGCCACCCGCGCTTGCATTGCCAGCACCACCCAGCGAAAGATCAGAGAAGCGATGTACCACATCAACCGGGGGGACAGAGCGACTGCCACTGGCACTGCTATGAGCGGAGGAGGCGCTGGCCCGACGGGAAGATGGAAGAGCCGGACCAGCATTCAGTAGGCGTGTGTCGTAGATGCCGTGGGAGGCAGCAGCCCCAGCGGCCGCAAGGGCAGCAGCCATCATGGCCTGCGGCTCGGCCTGCGGGGAGGACTCGATGAATTCATCCAGAGCTTGCCCAGCAATAGACTCGACTTGCTGCTTGGCGCTCATCTGCTGTGCCGGGTCTCCAATCAGCCAAAGTCGTTGTGTCACTCCCGGTTGAGGTTTGTTGGGGAAGACGGTGGCAACCGCACCCGTTCGGCTGAACACTTCTTTAAGGTTACGTCCAGCGTGACCAATGATGCGGGGTGCTTCTACCGTGCTAGGCAGACGGATGATCATGCGCGTCCTGAAGAGATGGCTCAGGTGGTTGAAGATGGCATTGGCATGTTGGGTGTCCGTGCGTGCAATCAAGTTGCCAGCGTCGTCAACCACAATGGGTTTCCACTCATTCTCAAACACGCTAATGGGAATGACTCGAATCATGTGCCGCACTAGGTGGTCACCAAGAAATGCGAAGACGCGAGCATCAAGGCAAAGAGGGGGAAAGGTCAGTAAGTTGGCACAAGTCATAGCCCTCGTCAAATCAAACACGACAAAGGGGACCACGTTGACTTACGCTCAGCATCGACCTTTTCCGCGGTCCTGAAGATGAAATCCGAGCGTGGGCTACGCACGCTGCGACTTGAGCGCAGCGATGCGCGACCGCTGGATGACGCCGAGGAGGAGCGTGATTCAGTGCCATCGGAAAAACGGTAGTTGGGTGATTGGAGCCGCACCAACGCCTCGAGACGAGGAATGGCCGCCTGCTGAGCCGAGGGATTACCCACGACCCAGATCTACAGTCACATGTCGAGGGAAGCGTTAGTCTGATAATATTATCGCCTCTGATGAGGGAGGCATTGCTCTGACGTTGACCATCGTGTGGGACCAAAACCTCCGAAAGATGACGAACCTCCTTGGGTGGGCCTCGGACAGGAATGATGATGACAATAGCGGAGGAATCACGGGCAATGGGAACAATATTTGAGCCCTTGGTGCCGACAAGGCGATAGCCCACCAACCCGGCAGGCAAATGCATGATGGTGCGCCGAGCGACCAGGAGCTGCCACTGTTGGTATTCTTGCCATGCACTGGCCAAATTTTCAGACCGCGTGTAAATCTAAGCATAGGCAAAAGTGAGAGAAGCGGCAGAACCAATGATTGTTGCCAATTGACAACATTTTCAGCGGAGGCCCACGGTGCAAGCACATCAATTCACGAGGAGAGGGGATGAGATGCTGGTGTGCCATAACCCACCCCGTCTTTGGACCACTTGAACGACATGGGCCCCAGATCCGAGAGACGTGCGGCGTATTCGAGAACAGTTGAGACTATGGTTGAGGCGCGTGAAAGGTGGACATTGGGGCATGAGTACAAAGTAACAAAACAATAGCAAACGCAATTCTGGGCCAGGGCAATAAACGGACCTTCCTCGGTCAGTTGCGAAGATGAAAGCATTACGACGCGATCTGGCGTGGCTTGACCAGCGGGGGCCATCTGGTGAGCCACGCCACCTCGCCCTTGAGAGAAATGCCCATAAGAGGTCCCATTGCCCACGGATCCGCCGGAGATGGCCGTGGCCAAGAGGCTATCCACCCGAGCACGTGCGCCCTCCAAGTCCGCCTCATTGAGAGTCACAATCCAAACCTAAGCGCACCGTTCCAAGAGGCAGGCATGAGTGATGGGGTATACAGGGTGGTCCGCGCGGGGCAGCCTAGCCACTCAGGCGATTTCTGCGCACCTGCCGCATGTCGTCACCCACGCGAATGTTTTCCGATACCATGACGATGCCCTTGCTTTCACGTTCAATGCTGCGCGCAGTAGCGCCTTGAGGTCCAACAACGATACCACAAGCTTGTCGCGGTACATTGCGAATGATGCGATTTGAAAACGCTCTGTGGAGCCATTGGAGCTCATGCAGGCCCTCTGCGCGGGTGCGAAAGCTGTAGGCAATCTGATCCAGAAATTGAGCACACGTGAGGGCCAGGCGTGCGTGGGTCGATTGACGCGCAGCAAGGCTATCGTAAGAGAGATCAAGCTCTGCTTTGACATACCTTATGGTTGGTATTGGGCACCCAAAACATCTTGGAGGGCGTTCCCAAGGAACGGCTGGGCACGCGCTTCAGAAACTCCGCGACTGAGAGAAGAGTCATATTGAGTCAGGAAGATCAAAATGAGTGCAGACAAAGGGACGTTCACCAATGTCTTGGCAAAACACGAAGCTGCAGGCTTGAAGTTGGACGTTGCAAAAAAATCAAAACAGTATCAGAACAGCTTACATGCGACACTGTCCTGATTGTCAGGGAGATCGATGCATCGTGGGCCCAGGGTTTGGGCGATGCGCAAGCTCACGTCTGAAGCAACAGCGTAGACAGACTATCCGGGGGCATCGCAGTGTTAGAGCATTGCGGCCCGGTGTGTGTCGTTTTCAGTAGCCGCATCATTGATGCAAACAGAAAGTGCCCCCATCCTTACGTGATCGTGAATTTGGCCATGGAGCATGGTCCGCACGAGTTCGGCTAGGTATTGACAGATAGAGCAATGATTGCGAGGATTAAAGGCAAAAGCAAAAGCGAAAGCGCACACCACCACCACCCCTCCCCACAAAGAAACAAAAACTTTGTCTGAGCCGGCAACAATGGTTGATCATGCGAGATAATCAGATGCCAACCTTCATGTGGCTGGACATTGATAATCAAGGGCACGGAGAACGGGAAGGTCTGCTCTTTTTCATGATGGATGTATTCGCAGCGCCAACCTTTGTGACAAGAAACGGCTGGGTTGGCCTTGATTTGCAAAGCAGTGCACATGTCCGTGCATGGTGGGTGAGAAAGAAGGAGCACACGCCGTGGGGCAGAAGTATTGAGGGCGAGCGCAACAAGCAAGCGCACCTGAAGTAAAGATGGACAGAATTCGCGTCGGTGGCAAGCTTGTGTGTGCGCTTCCCAGACACGGCGAACATCATTCCAGAAGACGAGGTCCTGTTGACAAGCATCAATCCATCAGTAAGATCAGTGAGACACTGAGGACTGAGCGGCAGATAAGTATGTGTGGCAGATAGGGGGGCGTACCAAGGCATCGGGCAGTTGCTGCTGGCAGACAAAGCAGGTCTTGAGGCTGATGTTCAAAGGGAGGAAAAGGAAAGGGAAGACGGAGAGACAGAGAGACAGAGAGACAGAAGTGGCGTGAGGGTGGTGAGCTCCAGAGGGCCGGACCAAGTTTGGTAGCTCGATCGACTATAAGATTGGCTTCGGAACGAACTGGACACGGTAGGCGTACCTTTGAGTCGCAGGCGCCAATACGTCTTGGCGGTCAATTAAGCGTTGAGCACAGGGGGCGCAGACGGCATGTTGTACGTGTAGGCTCGCCATGGTTTGGCTTGCACGCAGGGATCAGGATTCGTGGCGAGCTGGAAAGCTTGCGTGTTGCGTGTTGTTGAAGGGGGAGAAGACACGAAGAGGGATCGGTGCTTCAAGATCAACGGATGGGATAAAAGTTGAAAACAACAAGCCCTAAATGGCCATGTTCAGCGCGCGATCAAAACACGTGGCGATCACTTGGCTCAAGTCCAGTGCGAAGTGATGCTGTTGGTTCCTCCTGTTTCCTCTGGAGAAAGATTGCGCGACGAGAAAGAGAGAGGGGAACGACGATGACAGACAAATAAACAAATCCGCCAGAAGGAAAAAAAAAAAAAAAAAAAAAAGCAGCCGTCAGGTACTGGTCTATCAATGATTCTGAGGCTCTGAGCGCATCGTGTCGGGGTTCCTGAGACATGGCATGACTCACCGGCTCGAGAAGCTGAGACTGATACAAATTGGCGGGAGGATGTTGATTGGCCGAGATCTGTGGCAAGGCGTGAAGGTTGTGGTGAGACATGGTAACTGCGAACGTTGATCGCACGGAGGGATCAAGCGCAAGGAGGCCATGTCAGGGCGAGCAACGAGCGACAAGGAATCCAGACATCTTACAAGTGGGTGGGCGAGGCGGAGCGAAGCGTTTTGAGCAGGCGATGCGGAAGTTTTGAAGTGGCAGCCGCCCCATGCAAAGGCCGTTTAGGAATCGAAATCCGGTCCAGCCGCATCGGCATCTGCCAGCGGCAGCCGCAGATGGGCAGGGCAGGCCAGTCCACCCAAAGGCCCCTCCGGCTCTGTTGAATCTACACAACGATCGATCGATCGATCGATCGATTGATCGATCAGCAAAAGGGCCAAGCAAGCGCCGGAGGGAAGCAAACGGGTCGCGAGCAAACGGCTGCTGCTGGAAGTGTGTGTGTGTGTGTGTGTGTGTGTGTGTGTGTGCACCCGCCCTGTTTGTGTGTTGTGTGTGTTCTCTCTGTGTCTTTGTGTCTCTCTGGAGACAAAAGAATGGTAGGCATACAACAACAGCAACAACAGCCCCATGACTGACATGAAGTAACACAAGGTAATGCTTGAATACAACATTTACTACAAGAAAGTCTTCAATAACAACGGAAACCGCCGGTTTAACATCAACAAGCGGCCTGAAGCAGTAAGGACACACACGGACACACACACTGTAGACACACAAGAGTTGGAGGCGAGCGCACCCTTTGAGCTTTTGAGCGTAACCGCTCCGGTGTCTTTGTTCTCCTCCCTTTGCTCCTTTTGTTCTCGAGGAGGAGAATGAACGGGCCCCAAACACACACGTAATGCGTTGTGTAAGACCCAAGAGGCACACTTGATCACACTTTGGGCTACGAAGTCGCTGGTGTGCTGTGGTTGGTGGTGGTGACCCCTCCAATTTGTCGAGACACCCCTCCAACTCGACACAATCTATCTGATATCGTCACTGTTCTCGTCGTTTGCATTTTCTCCCAAGTGGCGCGAAACTGGCGGAGCGGGCGCTGACTACACACTGCACGGTCGCCGCTGGCCGATCCAAGGCTCGGCGCACTTGTCGGTTTGCTGCGGGGACGCATTCGTTTACTCCCTGCATGCCTGCTGCATGAGGAGACAAGACACCATTTGAGGAGCCAGCATCATGGCGTCGTTTTCCGATGAAGACTTTGCGCGCATGCAGGTGTGCTCCCCCTCGCCCCTCTCGCAGCTGGTTGCGTGATGGCTCGCACAGCGCGCAGTACGCGCGCGCTCTTCGGGCTGCACCATGCAACGCGTTGATTCACTAATTCTGCTTTTTCAGGAGTCGCTCATGCTCATGAAAACAGAAAAGATCGCTGCTGAGGAAACGGCTCAACGTGCTCAACGAGGTCTGGTCTCGTATTCTCATCTTGAATAGCATGTCGCTGAGACTGACCATGCCGACGCACGCCCACCTTGTTCGCGCAGAGCTTGACTCTTGTGTTCTCCGCCTTGAGGTTGCGGAGAAGGATGCCGCCAAAGCCTACAAGGTTGCCACTTGCGCTGGCGCACATCTCGCTCCGCTCGTCCCAACATGATCCACCAAGAAGCTCGAACTCATCGCCTTGGTACGCCCGAACGTGCATCTTGCGTGTTCCAGGCAATCAACAAAAGTAAAAAGGCCAAGGAAGTGGCTGCCCTCCTCGAGCGCTACGAGGTATGCCTTCCCATTCACATCGCCACTTGATGCCCTCGATCTTCCTTGCTGCTCCGTGTTCATTGTCAACCATGATCATTGCCACAGCAAGAGAAACTGGAGCTGCAGAGCCAACGGGATGGTCTCTTGACAAATTTGGCTGAGGTCTTGTCTTCATTGGCCCCACTCGCCATTCAATCGTACTCTCGATGTGTGCCCGTACCACCGGACTCGCCTCACAGATCTTTGTTGGCAGATCTCAAAAGAGAATGAAGTCCTCTCTGCCCGCATCGCCACCCTCTCTGCCCAAGCCGAAACCCCCGTGGCCCCGACCGCATCTCCTGCATCCGGTACACTTGTGTTTTTTTTTTTCTTTTTCTTTTTCTTTTTCTTTTTTCTTTTTCTTTTTCTTTTTCTTTTTCTTTTTCTTTTTCTTTTTCTTTTTCTTTTTCTTTTTCTTTTTCTTTTTCTTCCACTTCCTCTTCCTCTTCTGCTGCGTTTCCCGGCGAAATTCTCGCTAGCCGCCCCCGCCCTTGATCGGTCCATATGCATCTCAGTCAACCTTGTTTGGTTGGGATCGCCCCCTCCTTGTCGACAGCACCCACCAGCCCTGAGACAAAAGTTGGTGATGGCGACGCAGACTTGGACTCCAAGGCTGCCTCAGACACACCGACTGCCGTCGCGGCTAGCGCAGAAGCGCTGAAGACCAAAGTGGAAGCAGTGCAGATGCAGCTTGCCGAGTAAGCCTTGTTCCCGCCTACTTACTCTTCAGCTTTTGCGAATGATCCGATCACTCCGCCCAGGCCTATTTATTTTTTTTCCCGCTGCTGATCATAATCGGCTGTGATAATCGTTGTGTTCCAGAGTACAAGAGAAATACAAGCGCAAACAGCAGTCTTATCTCGCGTTGCAACAGGAGAAAGAGACAGCATTACAGGACCATCTCAAGGTTTCGCCACGCTCGTGCGGTGCCATGACTTACCAGCATCTTGGACTCATCACGCTTCGTCTTTGCAGGCGTTGCAAGATCAGGCGCAGCAACATGATCTGGCTCTGGTCTCTCTGCGAGCCGAGCATCGCGAAGTGCTCAGGCGCAAGGACGAGGCCTCCCAAAAGGAGCTTACAGATGCCCAAGAAGCGCTGCAGGCTGCTCAGCAAGAGGCCGATGAGCTGAAAACACGGCTGCGGCGCGAGGTCGGTACCCGCCATGCCCTTGCATTTCAAAGTTTGCTGCTTTCATTTCAGTGCTTTGCCCATACGACGATTATTCTTACTCTCCGTTGGGCGCAAGGCTGAAAATGAGGAGGGCGAGCAGATGGCCCGACTAACGGAGCGAGTACAAGAGCTGGAGGAAGAAAAACAACGTCTGTCACACGATCTGCAACGAGCAACGACGCAAACCCGTGAGTTGGAGGCGCGCATCGCCGCCTCGGATCATGATATGCAAGAACTCGAGCGAAAGCTGATCAAGGAGCGCGAGACGGCCGACTATTGTCGCACCCAGGCCGATGACTTGGCCAAGCAGCTGCAGTCTCGGGATGAACAGAGCGAGTCCAGCAAAGCCGAATTACGCGCCCAACATGCCGCCAAGCTCGCTGCCCTTGAGGCCGATCTTACGGCTGCGCATGAGCAGATTGAGGAGCTGCAACAACAAAATGAAGCAACAAATGCTGAATTGGCGCAAAAAGCAGCAGAGGCCGCACGCCTTCATGAGGCACACGCTGCCGCTGAAGCGCGCTTGGCAACGACAATTGACCAGATGGCTACCCTGGAACGCCGTCATGAGCGATTACAGAGCTTTGTCCGAGCCGCCACTACGACGTTGATCCGCGCACACGCCAAATCCGGGGATGAGCTCCGCGCACAGCTAGCGGCAAGCGAGACTCGAGCCACCAAAGCCGAGGCTTTGTTGGCCACCCAGCAGCACGAGCAAGACACTCGAGACCAGCAACGCAGCAAGGATGCCAACCTGATTAAGGAGCTTCGCAAGCAACTGGCTCGTGAGCAACGAAAACAAGACTCGGCGTCGATGGTCACAACTACCTCATCACGCACGAGTAGCCCCAAGACTGCGCGGCGGTCGATGCATCGCCGGTCCATCAGCCAAGTATCAGAAACGAGTCAAGCCACACTTCGCTCGTTTGAAACAGACAACTCCTCCGAGGCAGCCAAGGTTGTCATTACACACGAAGAACAAGAGGCCCTACTCGACCGAATGACTGCACTGCAAACGGACAAGGCAGAGACGGAAGACCGGGTAAGTCAGCAGCGAGTGGATGCTTTTGCACAGAAGAATTGCTCCCCCCCTTCCCCTGCTCTGATGTTCAGATTGGTTGCTTACTCGTGAATATTTGGCTGGGTATGCAGCTGCGCCGGTCGCTGCGCAAGCTTCAACAACTCGAGGCGCAGTTGGCAAAAAAGAGCACATTGCTTGATACCTTTGCTTTAACAGGCGAGGCCACGACGAGCGCTGCACCGAGCTCCAGCAAGGCTGCCAAGACCAACGTCGCCGCTCTACAGTGCGTGCCCTGTCTGCTGCTGGCATCATGTCATCCCGGGTGGTCGTGCCGTATGAGTCACGGGCGTCACCATTCGAGGCCGTGCGCTCACTTCCGGACCTTTCGAAAAGACAGCCAAGCTACAACTCAATGCATCGTTTGCTCGCCTGCCTATTTCTCCCTTTCCGAATCTGACAGGATGGCCAATCAGAAGATGCAGCAGGTGATGGAGGAGACGCTGATGAAGAACATCGAGCTGGAAAATCTTGTTCGCAGCCTTACTAGTGATGCATGAAACGCCGCTGGCTTTGCTCTCTGCCATGTCTGCCCGAGCATCGCACCACGCTTCTATGGCCTGACTGCTCCCTCTTTCCAGCCATCAATTCATACACTATCCTTTTTTTTTTTTTTTTTTTCCATGGTTATCATTTTTTCGAACAAAAACAACAACAAAAATCAATTCGCTCATGTTCGCAATTTCAAATGTTGATGAGTGACCATTATTATTGTTTCCTCACACGAGCTCGAGGACGATCTTGCGCGTACAACTTGCCCGTTGATGCAGACAACAGTAAGAATGGCATCACCAGTGCACCCTGGGTATGCTCCGCCGCCGCCACCACCATCAGCCCACCTCAAACATGGCCAGGATGAGAACCAAGGTGCAGACCCATGTCTCACCAGCGCCGCGCCGGCGGGTCATCGCGCATCGCGGGCGATGCGCCTCCGGCGCTTGAGTGTGAACAAGCCAAAGCCCGACTACACCCCACCAACTGCACCTACGCGCAGTCAGTCAGCGTCTGGCGCTGTAAATCGGCAGGGCGCATTTTCTGCTGCCATGGGCCGCCGTGCCAATTCGGTGGCTGTCCCTGGCAGCACGCACAAGCAGCACGCCACACAAGTGATCATCCACCATGGCAAGATCGCCCAGCCCGACGTTCGGCAAAAAGTAACAGACTCACACCGCCGAATCATTGCCCAGGCTGCCAAGGCAAGGATTGACCGTGCCTGTTGACACTCATGTGGAGCACAACTCGCCATTCCCACTTCCATCCCCTGCTTTCTTCGCCTCTGGCTTTGTTTCTCTTTGTAAAATCAAAGACCACGCAGCTTGGCGTGATCTCACGCGGCTCTGTTACGGTTTGTCCCAGGCGGGGCGAATTCAAAAGGTGGACATTGAAGATTACGTGGCTGATCTCCAAGCGGCCCTGCAAATGAGTGACCATCGAGCAGTCCATTCACTCCTCTTCTGGCTGCAGACGTATGTGAACTTGAGTGCGTGGTGCACTCAAACGGGTACGCTGAAACTCACTCTGAACGATCCCTTTGCTCCGGTTAGTGGGCAAAACAAGATGGATGCTTTGTCCGAGGACCGTGTGTCGGTGCGTGACAGTGCTTGGTGTTTTCTGCCCACGAGATATTCCTTGGGACCAGCTGGCCCCGGCGGTCGGGTATTCTCATTGGGTGTCGCATCGTGCGACAGGCAACGGGGTTGCGGCCAGAACTTTTAGAAAACTTGACCAATGACCAGCGCATGCAAATCATGATCATGTACGTTGTGCAGGCCTTTGAGCGTAATAAAAAAAAGCTCGACTGTCATAGCCCTTGCCATCATTTCCAGTTGTGCTGTCGTTACTGACTGCCTCGGAACGTACACAGGGTGGCCAAGAATGAAATGACGCAGGATGAGGCTTTGGAATACGTGCGCAATGCCGTCGGTGACGCGAACACTGCGCATGATGATACCGAGGTGGGAAAACTGTCATGATGTCGTCTCTGTCTATGAACGTGATCGAGTGCGTGTGCGTGTGTGCTGTCGTGCCGTTGCCTAAACAGCTGTGTGTCAAGTCCTCATTGATTATCGTGCAAGTGTCGTGGGTCACATCTGCACCGAACTGATGGATTCTCATATCGGGTGGTGAACCACGTGGACAACTACCCACAATTCTTCACTTGGCAGGATTCAGCAGACGTCACCACTGATGCATCTTTGGCCAGCACCAGGTTGGTATTGCTCTGCACCTAACCAGCTCGGCCCTGCCTGTCCAGGGCTCATATTGTTGCCAAACCGGCCGCCCTATCCTTAGGCCTGGCAATCAAGGTCGCCGTAGCTTTCGTCGAGTCAGTGAACGTTGATGGTTTGCGTCTCAGCTTGCGTTTCTCGATGCCTCACATGTGCTGCTCGTCTGCTGCAGAGCAAGTCGCCCATCCCTGAGGCTGACCAAGGGCCAACTGCGACTGACAATAAGAAAGCTTTGCTTCCACCTACCATACCGGTCAGTTGTGCTATGCTTCACGCTGCTGCGTTCCACCCCACCCTCTGCCCATTTACACTCTTTACACTCACTCTGAGAAATCATGAACCACACGAACCGTAGCAGCAGAAAGACTCGGCGCCGGCTCTTGGGAGACCTTCTCCCAAGCAGGTTGGTATTTGGTCTGGTCTCTCCTCGAGTCCGTGCCTTGCGCGCTGATTGCAATAGCGATGAGCCATTCACATGCCTGATCAACCTCCAAATCGCTTGTGTTGGAACCAGGCTTGGTAGATGTAGCAAGCTTCACGAGCGACCTTCAACCCAAGAGCAAGTAAAGGATTCGATGAGGTGGCAACCTAAGATTTTGATAGGGCTTTGAGCCACAACCGCGAGCGTCATTGCAGCACACTTTAATTGATTGGCCGACCATGTCAAGCACACATCCATTCACATGTCAGCCGTCATCCTTTCTTTTGAGAGTTCTATCAATAAATGCAGGTCTCGGTTGACATTCGGTTGCGCAACACTTTGCGTTTTGTGCCTTCTTTCCGTTTGTTGTGTTGCTTTCAAGTCTAATGTGCTGTGTATGATTTTTGATCTTCGAGTGACGCCATGGCCATTGTGGTGGTCACGGGTGGCGCCGGCTTTCTTGGCGGTCAGTTCTTGAGGATGGCGAGCAGTAACGAAGGGAGGACGACGTCTGTCATTCAAGTCATGAATCTGGCAGAAGCATCAGTTCAGTCGCTGACCGGGGCCCTTGACTGTTTTTCTCATCGTTCGCGTGACTCGCAGGCCATCTTGTCAAGCTATTGGCCGATGGTCCGCGCCCCGATGGCTTTGGTGATGTGGCAGAGGTTCGGGTGGTGGACCTCGTCGCCCCTAATCTCCATCGCTTGGGTACGGACACTGCCCATGCCCCACGCTCTCAAGTGGGCGACACACTCACGATCGCGTCCCGCACGACCCTTGCAGGCGTCCAAAACCAAGACCGAGTGACGCACCGAGTCGGTTCAGTGGCTGACGCAACATTCGTGACCGAGGCATTGACTGGTGCTACGCTCGTATTTCATTGCGCGGCCATTGTTGACTGGGGTCAGCGGCCTCGCGAAGTTCTTGAAGAGGTGCGTCGATCTCAAAAGGCCTAGCCCAAACTCGATTTACGCATTGCTCACTCGCCAATGCTGGGCTGTGGCATGCGCACAGGTCAACGTGGGCGGCACTGACAATGTTGTGGCTGCTTGCCGGGAGCATGCTGTGCGTAGCTATGGCATGCGCAACGAGCGGGCGATCTTGCTTGCCTGTATCGATTCATGGGTGGCGCGCATGGTAGATCCGTGCCTTGGTGTATACTAGTACCATGGATGTGGTGTGCTGGCGGCACGGCGATTTGCTCGATGCCGCCGATGGCGATTTGCGTGTACCCCCGACGCCAGCCGACTTTTTGTATGTCAAGGCTTGCCCTCTCTGCCCGTGAATCTGGTGCTCGCGCGTCCTTACATGTTGTGGGGTCAATGGCTCATGCTGCATCAGGTACGGCCACTACGCTGTCACCAAAGCCAAGGCTGAAGCGCAAGTCGTTTCCAGCCATAACTCAAAGGCTTTTCGGACTCTTGTTTTGCGCTCCACTGGCATGTATGGCGAGGTCAGCCACAGCCCACTTGCCAAGATCAGCTCGACCCCTCTTGGGATGGCAGTTTCGATCTCATGTGGCTGGTTGGCAGGCAGATCCCTATCACATGCCTAACATCCTGAAAGCCGTGCTGGATGGCCAATTGGTCCTGCGCATGGGCAGGTGCGTTGTCTGCACCGGTGGACAAGCAGGGGGTAGCTTGATATTGCGTAGAGCTCGGTGATCGTCCTCATATGGACCTTGCAACAGCCCGGCAGTGCGCTTTCAGCACACCTATGTTGGCAATGCAGCTTGGGCCCACCTCGTGGCGGCAAAAGCCCTACTGCAGAATGCTTCCGTAGGAGGTACCACGTACATCATCACGGATGAACCGGCAGTCAACTTTTGGTGCGTGGGAGGCGGGAAGGCGGGGATTGATGCGGTTTACTCTTGGCTTCCATGTCGCTACTAGACGCTGTTCCTGCCTCCAGCCCCTCTTCTCACGCAGCTGAACGTTGCCGTGATCTACAGGGAGTTTTTTGTCCCTTACATGCAGGCCTTGTCATTGCCCTTTCCCAAAGCTTGGCCCTATCTGCCTGGGTGGCTCGCATATCTGATTGCCTACATTAATGTCGCCATTTGTGCAGTCATTTCTCTTATTTGGCCAGTTGCGCCTTTGGTCAGTCGGGCATCTTCCTCAATGGCTTGGTGTTGGTCACGACGCATCATCGGCACCAGACGTGGCTTGCTTTTCTCGGTCTCTGCCATCCTTCAGTATTTGATACTCTGCCCGGGTGTCCTATTTCCTCACGCTTACTTGTCCGTTGAGGTGCAGGTCACACCGGGCGCACTCAAGGGGGTTTTGCACAACCAAAGCTTTCGAGGAGATCGGTTACGCCGAGTCTTGCATTATGCACCGATCTTTTCCCAGTAGGTTGCTGACGTCGACCCATGCCAAGCAGTGCGCCAATAACCGCTGATAACGTGTTAACACTGATGTATAGGGAAGAGGCTTTTTCGCGAACGTTGGCAGATACTAAAGAGCACATTCTACCGCAACTGCGAAAAGAGTTGCGCCCCTCTGCCTCTGATGCATCCTCCTCATAGCGCATGTCGCATCCCTGCCAGAAAATCGAATCGAGATGTGTGCTGACAAAGAGAAGAGGTGGGGGAAGAGGAAAAAAAGGAGTGGTGTCAGACAATCTGACATTTTCATTTTTGCTTGGAAGCGATAATCAGAGTCCACGTTTGAACCTCGTGTGTACCTTCAGCACTTTTCTTTTTCCCAAGATCGGCACAATGGTACGCGTGACAGGAGGGTTTCCGTTTCGTGGCTTGTTCAGACGATTTCGAGCTGCCGGCGGCGTTGACTGGGCTCTGCCGCTGCCTCCAGCTACGCGATTTTCTGCTTCTGCCAGAGTAGCTTTTTTTCTCATCCATCCTTTGGTGTCTTCTTTTGGTTTTAAAAAACGCTAGGCCTCTCGTCCTCAGGTCACGGTCTTCAGCGCCGAAGATGGCTCAGCCAAGGGCTCAACCACCATGCCCGCGGTCTTCACGGCCCCCATCCGCACGGATGTTGTGCATTTCGTGCACACCAACATGTCCAAGAACCGGTATGTTTCGTGCCGTTTTGGCCATGTGACCGGCCTCAACTAGCCGTTAAGCTCGACGCTTTGTGCGCGACCATAAAATCATGAGCTCACGACGCACGTGATGATCTTCTTCTCTCTTAGTCGCCAGCCTTACGCTGTGAAGGATTCTGCTGGTCACGAGCACTCTGCTGAGTCATGGGGTACCGGTCGCGCTGTGTCGCGTATCCCCCGTGTGTCGGGTGGTGGTACCAGCCGTAGCGGCCAGGGTGCCTTCGGTAACATGTGCCGCAAGGGTCGCATGTTCGCCCCCACCAAGGTGTGGCGCCACTGGAACCGTCGCATCAACAAGAACCAGCGCCGTTACGCCACTGCTTCGGCTCTGGCTGCTTCGGCTCTGCCTGCCCTTGTTGAGGCCCGCGGCCACCGCATTGGTGACCTGCCCCAGGTTCCCCTCGTCATTGAGTCGAGCGTTGAGACTTTCCAGAAGACCGCCAAGGCCGTCGAGCTCCTCAAGGCCGTCGGTGCCTTCGAGGATGTTGAGCGCAGCCGCGAGAGCCGCAAGCTGCGCCCTGGTCACGGCAAGTGGCGTAACCGCCGCCACATCCAGCGCCGTGGCCCCCTTGTCGTGTACGGCAAGAACACTGGTGTTGTTGAGGCTTTCCGCAACCTCCCTGGTGTCGATACCTGCTCTGTGGATGCCCTGAACCTGCTTCAGCTCGCCCCCGGAGGTCACGTTGGCCGCTTCATCGTCTGGACCGAGGATGCTTTCAACAAGCTTGATACCCTCTTCGGCACTCAGGAGAGCCCCGCTGACGAGTCCGCCAAGAAGCGCCGTAACGCTCCCTACCACATGCCCCGCCACAAAATGGCCAACGCCGATCTGGCCCGTATCATCAACTCCGATGAGATCCAGTCGGCTGTGCGCCCCGTCAAGACTGGTGGTGTGCACGCTACCCAGCGCAAGAACCCCCTGAAGAACCTGAACGTTCTCCTCCGCCTCAACCCCTACGCCAAGGTGTGGAAGCGTCACGAGACCATCCAGGCTGACAAGCGCCATGCTGCCCGCCAGCAGGCTGCCAACGCCAAGCGCGCTTAAATGCGTTGCAGCATTGAACGCCCATCTCTTTTTGGGTCGGATCTTTTTTTCGTTGATCTTGCCTTTCAATCTTGGACCAATTGATAGCGATCAGGGGCTCCTTTTTCCTTTTTTGTTTTGTTTACAAAATGAGGCGTTTGTGTCATCAGGGGAGGGGAGGGGCATCAATCTGCATGTGCTCAGACGAAAATTGGTGTCAACCTTTGTCTAGTAGTTAGGATTGAGATACAGAAGAAGATATACACATACCACGATCGTGGGTAAGAAAATGCAAAGGCACAATGAAACATGAATCGTGCAGAACGACAAAGGAACACGCAGGGAAAACAAACAGACAAATATCCTATGAACGGCCAGCGCAAGACAGGTTGAGCGTCGCTCTAAGCCGGCCTTGAAAGTGGCGTGCAGGCCACAGCGTCATGAGGAAGAGTTGGAAAGAATTGTGGCCGAAAAATGATGCACAAACAGGGACGGGAGGAAAAGCCAAAAAAAAAAAAAAAGAGGGAGAACGTGAAAACTGAAAGCTAAATCGACGAAGACATGCACAAAACCAAGTGGGGAAAAACCACGCAGTTCTTACAGGCAGGGACACCAGAACAGCCCCCAAGAATGGAAGCAAGATCACAAGGAGCTCAAAGCAGGATGCAAGGCGTTGAACTGCCAAAAAGGCGAAGGTCACGAGTAGAGAGCGCATTGGCCAGCAAGGGTTGGGCCTGTGGAAGAATGCGACAACGTCTGAACCCAGGCCCGCTCAATCGGTGTGAGCGTGTCAGGGGTGCGCACGGCTTTGATGAGCACGTCCACATTTTTCCGGAGCATCTCTGCTTCCATGGCGAGCTGAGCCGCTTTGCGCTCTTTTTCTCGTGCAGCATGTCGATCGACGGCACGCCGAGCCTTGGCCTTTTGACGGCTCTTGTGCACCTGGACAATACAAATAGTTGATAAATGTAGAGGGGCAAGGTCAGAGGCGCAAAGCACGAAAGCGCGGAATAGCTCGCAAAAAGTGCAAGTCAAAAAAAGGGGGGGGGGCACGAGGGCATTGTTGCTTTATACCGCAGCATTGTTCTTTTGACGGACGGAGCGCCACTCTTGCCATGCGAGGGAGAAGGCCTCCTCTGAATCAAAGGCATCGCGCTCGGGTTTACGCTTAGAGCCGAGCTTCTTGCGCTTAAAATCGAGCTAAGGTCCAACAGAGCGCGATAGAGTTGGCAGAGCGCAGTTGAGTTGGAGCGATGGGGTGCGGAAGTGCAAGCATCTGGCGAGGAAAAGAGGCGGGTGGCGAAAGCTCGTTGACAACTTGGCCAGCGAGGACTGACCTCGCTCATGCTGTGAGAGCCGCGCTTGCCCGAGTGTTCGGTCATGAAGGAAAGCGGAGTATTGGGTTGGGAAGAGGTGTCGCTACCCGAAGTGGTGCTGCCCATCTCTGAGCCAACGCCCTTGAAAAGCTGTTTCATGGGCATAAGCCGGTAGGTATCATCGTCGAGGGCGGCGGAGATGGCAACCACAGGCTGTAGCAGGTCGCTGGTTCGTTCGTCGCGGGGTTGCACACTTGAGGCAAGGTTGATGGCCTGCAAGAAGCCATCAAAGGTGTGTCCAGAGGCCGTGGGTAGGTCATCTACGTTGACGGAATGGCTGACTTCAATGTTCAGGCCCTCGATCGTCGAGAGGTGGGGCACCGATAAAGAGGGATCAGCCTCCTGAAGCATGCGGAAGAGGTCATCTTGATTCACGGTCAAGAGGTCGGCAGCCCAGCCTGCAGCACCTCCGGTGGCAGCATGGGATGATGCGCTGTCGAAGCCGCTGCCATTGGTGACCGAGGCCCGAGAGGCACCCGAGCCGCTACGGCGGCCAGAAAACGGGGACGGCTGCATGAGCTGTTCCTCACCGGTGGTGGCAATGTCATCTGTCGAGGACAACCGCAACCGTGAGCTTGGGTGGAACATGCTCTCTTGCGAGTGCTGAAAACTCGCAATCGCAGCCCCGCGCTGCATTTCGGCAATTTTCGCCCGCAGCAATGAGGCGACGTTGTTGGTGGCCAAGGGGGAAGAAGCAGAAGAGCTGGGGGAGTACAAGGCAAAGGGAAGGAAGGGGAACCCTCCTTCCCCAGCGGTGGTCCCAACTACAGCTCCCTCAGCCCCAGCAGCGGCTGATAATTGGGAAGGCGATGGGTGGTAAACTTGGAGATCGAGGTGGTTGAGAAGGGGGTTGCTTGTGCTTGTGGTGGTAGGTGAAGATGCTGCGGAGTTCCAAGCGCCACCTCCCCACATTGTGCCTGTTCTACTTCCAGAAAGGAAGGACGGGGGGGCTCTGCCGGATTGCAGAAACCCGGAATGCGAGTGTGTGTGTGTGTGTGTGTGTCGACGTTCGATTGCTGAAAACCCAAAGGGCTGACAATGCAGTGTGTACGGGATGCGTGTGGGTGGTGGGGGCGCGTCGACAAGTCGTGATCAACAAGGCAGAAAGCAACACACTGAGTCAGCGCGTTGCTGCGTCAGCACACACAGAATCAAGCACATTCGTATCTGCTTTGAGCTGTTTGGCACAACAGCAAAAAAACAACCGTTATAAACAATGTCATCATTTTAATCAAATTACTCCAAGTGCCCAAAAAGCACTTCAAAAATGCACAGTTGGTTTTGGTTAGCCTTGAAAGATGCTCCAATCCAGCACGGCAAAGGATTCAATCATGGGTTGGAAGAGGGATAAGGCATCGCCATTTTGAGCCAAGGCCGCGGCATCGACCGCCTCAGCTGAGCTGCTTGAGGCGTTGATCTCAATCGGCTGGTTCCAGCTTACTACAATATCAGTGCTCACGTGTGGGAAGCGGAAGCAGGCCACATGCACGCGCACTTGATTGGCTCGCTCCGCAGCCTCGTTGAACTTGGCAACTCGCTGAACTCCGATGCTCACGCTTCGCTCGCTGCATGGGTTGTGAAAACAAGCGTGAGGCAGGGGCACACACATGCACACGCGCAAAACAAAAATGATACATGAGAAGAGTTAAAGCAAGATGTGTGGCGCCTGACTTCCGTGCGCACATGAACAAACAGATGGATGTGCACACACACACACACACACACCCGGTCCGAGACAGGGTTTGTCCTATAATATGGCTGGCTTGGAAAGAGCCCTCGGAAGTCAGTCAACAACAACAACATACCCATTGAACGGCAGTGGTCGGAGTTGGTCGCGCTGCTCAATGTGCGATTCGAGCGCATCATTGTCGTGGGCCAAGGAGTTAAAGTGGAAGTCGGCCGCGCCTTGACCCGTGGCAGTGGCATCAGGCACCATTTCCAGAATCTCCACAATCACGCTCTGGTCCGTGCGCACGTCCACAAACACCTCTTGTGTGTCGGGCACTTGGCGAAAGGCACTCACGTCCTCAAACCGCGCCGGCAGCCCAATGCGCATGGCCCCCTCCAGCAACGCCCTTTCTTCCAAAGCCATGCTGACCCGTGCTGTGCACTGGCACTGAGAAAACGGGGTTGCGGAATTGGGTTTTGCAAACACCGGCCAAGGTTAACGCTGTCACAGTGCTGACTTGGCTTCAAGGCACTGCCGAAAAGTAAATGCACCAAACCGGTGGAGGTGAACTTGGCCGATCCGCTGTCCTCTCCCGTACCCTTGCATGCAGATGCCCAAGGTACCACAACAAGCTGGCCAACGTACTGGAACGTTGTAGATCGGAAATCGTGCACGACGAACAACGCTGTGCTCGAAGCGAAGTCTTTCCACAAAAAAAGAAAAAAAAAAACGAATGAATGAACATGATGACATTTCCTGGATCGTGAGGGTCACTTGCAAGAGAGAGCGAGTATAAATTTGCTGACATTTATCATGCAGGAGGCGAATGCAGTCAGTAGCACAAATCACTGCGGACAATTTTGAGCGGATCAGATACATGTCCGCAGATCACGGTCGATTCGGGCCGCACGTCTCATCGCCGTCAGTTGGTCAGCTTGCGACTGGCTTGGCCAGGTTTGCTACCAAGGCACCAGATGTTAATGCGGACATGACCAAAAGGTATGCGCTCAGGAATGCACCAGTTTCAAGATCGCCGTGCGCCGTGGTATTGGTGGTTACGCACAGGGAAAGACGCAAGCACACCCCACGCACGTCCAAATCTGCCGATCCAGGCTGCCACTTTGTGCTCAACTCCGGTCGACAAGACACTCGACCTCGCTTGTCACGCTCTCTGGGGCGTCCAGTGCCCATCCTCGCGCCTGCTTTCTGCCCAACTCCCAAGTTTGAGCTGTGCAACCCATTGCTGCACGCGCAAATTTATTTGCGGCCGCCTTTGCCTGCCCTGTTGCAAAGCGTCATTGCACAGCGTAAGATAGCTTGCGATGTCAAGTTTCTGCACTCCATCAAGCCCCCGAGCCAACCTCATCTGGCCTGTCTGCATCAACCTCTACATTTTAGCTCAAGGTGTTGCGGCGAACATCTGCTTCCTTGCTTTGTCCATCCAGGACTGTAGCTCTATTGTCATCTCTTCCTTGGTGTATGTGACGTCTGGAAGCGGCGCCGCTGCCTTGACCTAGCCTCTGTCAACGTGTCGACCGAGCTGCTGAAGTTGCCCGCACCTCCTTCTGATTGCCTTCTCGAGCGATTCCCTGATGAAGGGGACGAGGGGACGAGACCGCCAAACGTTGTACCCCCTTTTCGGCACGGCTTTGAGCCCCTTCTAGCGCGCGTGCTTGGCGGTCTATTAAAGTTGTACATCGCAACGCGTGCAGCCTAGTCAGCGCCATGAATGAGAGCATTACCCCCGATGCTGGGGCCATGGCCATTGGCGCGCCTGATTGGCTGGAGCATGCACCTCGACGTGACCTAATCAAGTACATTCGCGAGTTGCAATTGCAAATTGCTGCTCTGGGTGGCAAAAACTTGCCCTCGGCCTCAGGCCGCATGCGCTCCTCCAGGTAAGGTTCCTTCCTGATGCTCTGAGTATCATATCATGGATTTTTTTCTCTTTTGAAAATGAGGGAGGGGAGGGGGTGGATCGATGCTCCAGCTCTGCTTGGCTTTGGACGCGCATGTTTGCCATCACTCACTCTTCACGATTGATGACCCCCGTAGATCCCACACGACCTCATCGGTCTCAACTCGGCAGAAGCAACGCGAATCAGCAACAAGCCTCACATCACACTCATCAACAACAAGTGCTCACACCATCATGAGCCAGAGCAGCGAGGCCAAAGACGGTGCCTCCATCAAGTCTCGCAAGAGCAACGACAGCGAGGTCTGTTGCATCTCACCCCTACTCACCAGGCCAGCTTATTCTTTTTACGCTGGCCTTTGCTTTTCTTGCCATGCTTTCTCTCGCCTTGTCCAGAAACATCTCAACAAATCATTCTATGGAATGTCACCAGGATCGCCGCAAGGCACCGGTGCCATTGGCGCGACTGCGGTCGATTGGCTCGATGGACGATGTGACCAACGGCAATCTGATGGGCGGAGCAGGATTGCTGAGAAGAACATCTTGCTCACTCTCACTGTGTTCGCCCGCTGCGTCGTGTGTTTCACTCTCACTGACTTCGCCAAGTGGGGCTGAGTTTGCATGCTCACTGTGTTCGACAGGATGTGAAATGGCAGCGGGCAAAATGGCAGTGGCAGGGGGTGAAGCCGAGGGCGGAGAGGGATCGGAATGGGTTTGTTGTGTACCCGATGGATATGGCAGCACCATTTGAGCGGGTGTAGGTGATTGCACCAATGGCTCTGGCGTGGCACTGCCGTTTGTGTCACCGTCACCATCATGCGCGGGAGGGGCGATAGGGGTGGGCGCGCGGAGTGCGGTGGAGCGAGGAGGGGAGTCGCTTTCATCCGAAGACATGGTCAAAAAATCCGATGGTGTGTTAGGAATCGAATGATGTGTCTGCCCTGTGGACTCGGGCGAGGGTTGTTGCTCCCCGCTGCCATTTGGCTCAGAGGGCACCGATGCTGACAAATCCTCGGTCATAGGGGCCGAAGATGTGGCAGTGGCGGCGGCAGGCATTGCCGCAGCAACTTGAGCAAAGGAGCGAGGGCTGGATGGCGTGCGAGGGGTGCGGGGAGAAG